AAATTAACCACATTTAGTATGTTTCTCGTTTGACATAGCAAAATCCAAGATTTTGATTTACTTGGTTTTGTGCAGATCCTATCTTTCATGTAAATCGTGTGAGAGCTGTATATATAAAAGGTATATATATAATTTATTAGAAGATAAAATTAGTATGCACGCTAAAAAGTTGCTAAAATACTGTGGTTCCGTGAAAACTTTAACATAAGCAAATTTAATAGCAATGAATTGTGTTAAAAGAGAAAAATACAACATTTGATTATTTACAAGTAAAAATTAACAATAATGGTAAGCTATAATTTATGATATAGTAGTTGAAATTTTGAATCTCATACACTATTTGTATTGTGCAGCTGGGGCAACAGGAATGAGACAAATTTTGGAATATAAAGTGATACGTTTATTTTAGCATCCATCTCACAAGCATTCCTCCTGTATCTTGAGGGAGAAGCCCTATTTATAGATATTTGTGCATATTTTTTTGTAGAACTATAATAATTAAATCCTCCCACAGTGGCAATAAAGAGACATTCAAAAGGTGTCTTGGTTGGGGTACGTCTTGCATAAGACCAAATTTTTTCTGTTTTTCTTTTTATTAAGTTGAGAAGTATGACAATGTTTAACAAAATTTCCAATATCTTCACTAATATGAGGCCAATAATATTGAGGGGTGATTAAGTTAAGCATAATATGGACTCCTGGGTGACTAAAATTTTCATGGGTTTTGCTCAATTTTAATCTTAGAGATTTAGGTACTACAATTTTATAAAAATTCTTTTTCTTAATTACCATCATATCATTTATCTCTTGGTAATTTTTTCCGCAGACATTATCAGTTTTTTTGTTGTTGGATTATTTCATTTCTATCAAGTAAATGTACATAATGTTGGAGGTGCTGTGAAACAGGATGTCTAGAAAGCATGTCAGCTTCAATATTTGGTAGAGCCCTTCTGATACTTTACTTCATAATTGAACATACTTAGTTTGAGTGACCAACGGAAGAGTCTACCTTTTAAATTTTTAACATTTTTGAGCCAAACGAGGGCCGCATGGTCCGTATGTATAACAAATTTTTGTCCATGCAGATAGTAATAGAATTTGTCTAGGGCATCTACTATGGCCAAACATTCTAACTCAGTAATCGTATAATTTTTCTCATAATTTCTTAAAGTTCGGGAATGATATGATACAGGGTGAAGGACATCATTTTCATCTGGTTGTTTCAAAACAGCTCCAACAGCAGTTTGAGAAGCGTCAACAAAAATATGACATGGCCTACTGGAATCATACAATTGTAAAACAGGTTTGGAAATCAGTATTCTTTTCATTTCGTCGAAAGCTTTTTGACATTGGTCATCCCATTCCCACTTGACATCTTTTTTCAAGAGTCTGTTTAATGGAGCTCTAATAGTTGCATAATTCGGAATGAATCTATGATACACATTCACACTTCCCAAAACTCTTTGTAACTCTTTGGTGTTACTGGGGTTTTTAAGTTTCTTAATAACTTCTATATTATGATTATCGGGAATTATTCTACTATTTTTTATTTCATAGCCAAGAAATGTGATCTGATCTCTGGTGAACACACATTTGTTTCGATTCAATTTAATATGCTAAAATCTGTAAATGTATAATGTATACTCAATAAAATTTTTAAATGTTCTAAATGTTCCTTCTCAGAGGAAGAGGAAACGATTATATCATCAAAGTAACTGCAAGCGAAATTAATTTTATTTTTTGTTATATTCGTCTAATTGTTCTGTTAAAAATTGCAGGAGCATTTTTGAAACCAAAAGGGAGTCTTAACCATTCGAATAATCCAAAATTCGTGCAAAAAGCTAATTTCTCAGTATCTGCAGGGTGAATCGGGATATGCCAGAAACCAGATCTCAAATCAATTGTAGAAAATACTTTACTTAATTTGTCTAACAAAGTGTCAATGCGAGGAAGAGGGTTTGCATCTGTTTTAGCCAGGGAATTCAATTTTCGATAATCTATACATAATCTAGTTTTCTTACCTTCCTCACGTTTAAGTACTAAAGTCACGAGTGACGAATATGGGCTACAACTTTCTTTAATTATACCTGCTTGTAATAATTGGTCGATTTGGGTCTTAATTTCCTCTTCTTCCATAGGGGATGTTCTATAAGGTCTTAATGATACAGGCCCAGGCAGCATGCATTCGTAAATTGCACGAGAAAAATACGTGCAATTTACGAATGGCCTTTCGTATAAAAAACGTTCAAGTTGAACGTAAAAATATCATAAAAAGTGTCCAGTGGCAATTACTATTTATTTACGTATATTTTTACGTTATACTATACGTAAATTTTACGTAAAATTTAGGTATATTTACGTGAGAAACTGCTGTTCATTCGCAACTTTTACATATAATATACGTAAATTTCAGGGATTTACGTGTATTTTTAGTAAACATTTACGTATATTTATCGCATATACGTAAATCTCAATTTTTTGCTTCACATATGCGTATATATTTAGTAAAATTTTACGTAAATTTCTCCGATTTTTTGCTGTATGTAAACGTATATATTAGGTAAAAATTAAGGTAGATATTCCCCGTATTTTACGGTACAAAAACGTATATATTTGATAGAAATTAACGTATATATTTCTTGTATTTTACGGTACAAAACGTATATATTTGATAGTAATTGACCTAAATCTTCCCTATGTTTTCTTTGCATATGCGAATGACTGGTAAAACTTTAATCCGATGTCTTCTCCACTTTACTGTGTATAAATGCAATTTTTTGGTAAACTGGAGATTTATGCAATTTTTTGGTAAAAAAATTGCATAAATCTCCAGTTACCTTTTCACTGCATTTTTTGTAAAATGTACTTATTTTAATCTCATATTTTTTTATATAAATCTATGCAAAAACTTTCTGCATGCTATGATTAAAAGGTAAAATGTCATTTTTATATCAAATTCTTACATATCTGCCTTTTAGTTATGTACAGCAATATGGAATATATATAACTGAAAAATTTAAATGCACTAGTAAATGAAAAAAAAAAATTCTATTCAAAAATTACATAACACTTAAAGGCTGAAAATCACTTTTAATATTTCATTTCAAAGCGACTACAAAATATGCAATAAATTTCGTAAACATCAATTCTATGTTTTAAATCAATTAATGATATCGTTCATTTGCATTTTTGTTTACTAAATTCATTTCATAAATTTAAATTTAGTAAACAACTGTAGTAAACAGTTGTTTACTAAATTCATTATTACTAAATAACACTAAATAAATTATTTGCTTTTCCGAAGGACATTTTCTTATGCCATTTAAATGAACGATAATATTAATTGATTTAAAACATAGAACTCAGGTTTACGGAAATTTATTGCATATTTTGTAGTCACTTTGAAATGAAATATTAAAAGTGATTTTCAGCCTTTAAGTGTTATGTAATTTTTGAATAGAAATTAAATTTTTTTGCATTTAAATTTTCCAGTTATATATATTCCATATTGCTGTACATACCTAAAAGGTGGATATGTAAAAATTTGATATCAAATTAACATTTTATCTTTTAATCATAATATGCAGAACATTTTTGCATAGATTTATATAAAAAATATGAGATTAAATTAAGCACATTTTAGGAAAAATGCAGTAAATAGGTAATTGGAGATTTATGCAAATTTTTTACCAAAAATGTGCACTTATACACAGTAAAGAGGAGAAGACATCGGACTAAATTTTTACCAAAGTCATTCGTATATGCACAGAAAACATAGGGAAGATTTAGGTCAATTATTATCAAATATATAAGTTTTTGTACCATAAAAATACAGGGAATATCTACGTTAATTTCTATCTAAAGTACAATATAGTTAATTACCAAATGTCACAAAAGTAAACATCATACATTTAGATTATTTGAATGAGTGTGCTAAATTTTAAAATTGTTAAATATAGACCAGGAAATTGTAGAAAAACTTACCTTTTCCAATAGTTACGAAGTAGTTGACTTATTTTCCTTGAAGATGAATGTTTAATGTCACAAATATTTCATTCATATCTTCAGATAATACACAAATATATACATATTTATTTATTAAAATTCAGTTTATCCCAAAACATGTTAAAGAAAATATTAATTTGCATGCAAGTTAATCGAGTAACTTCTGTTTTAATTACACATAATTATGATATGTAAAAATTTTACATTTATCAGTCAATCTTGCAATGTATTGTAATCTATTATTGTCTTTCTCAGTTTAAAATCTTATAAATATATTAGATCAGTACTAAAAGTTCACCTCTACAAAAGAAATGCTTTATTGAGGTACATTTTTAAAAAGTTCCCTTTTACAATGTAACTGTTAATTTCATAAATACGTTCATAAAATTATGCAAATTCAAAATTACCTAAATATGTTCTTTATTTTATCTTATATACAGATAAAATTTTAAAAAGTTAATTTGTTTAGGAATATTGAATTTTTTAATATTTATCTCATGTGACTTTTTCTATAACATCATTATAAATGTACATGTTGATGTGGAAATACCAATTATTTTTTTTTTTTTCATCAAATAGCTTTATGGTATTAAATGATTTAAAAGCAGGCAACTGGGACAAAAGAAAGCAATTAGAAGTTGGCTAATTTTTTATTAATTTGGTTGTCAAATGCTGTGCATTTTAGATTATGCTCATATGATGACAATGAGTTATTTAAATTATAAAATTATTATGAACATATCCCACATAAATTAACAAGTATAAAATTTCAAGTTGTTTGAAGTATTATGAACTGTAATACTTGCAAAAGAAATACACATGAAATTAATTTAAGAATTAGGTTTATTTTACAGGTATTCGAAAACTGCAATTACTGTTAAACAATAAAAACTAACATTAAATCTGAAGAGCATATTTTTTTTCAATAATAAAATTCAACATAAATTATTTCAGCTTCGCCATATTTGTTCTATAGTTCGCTGTCTTTAATATCCTGCTCGATTTTTGTAAAAGTGAATTCTTTGTCACCCAATGTTTTGAAAACAGCTCCTAAACAAGAAAAAGAAAAATTTGTAATAATTTCACACTTCAGATGTTTTCAGTTTTTAAATATAGTTGAAGTATTAAAAGATGCATATAAAATGCACTGAGTATTTCATATTTAAAAATTTACATTTCAGTAATTAAAAATTTAAGTTCATACTATCACACAGTAAACTTCAATTATATACCTTACACAATGCCTATAATTTCAAGTAAAAAATACCTAAAGATCTGTTTAGAACTGCAAAGTTAAGAAAGTCTTTAATGGCTATGCTTGTATTTAAGTACATGAGAAAAAACTTAATTTTGTATTAATTATATTGCATTAGCCTTTCCAATTTTACTCCTACATATAGTAAAGAATATTCGCTTTCTTACAGATATCTTTTTCTTAAATAAAGAGTAAGCAGAAAACTAATCACAACACTATATACATATATAACAGAATACTTCATAAACATATACATGTCATTAACATATGTATATGCATTAACAGCCTATTTTACACATTTCAATAAACCAATACACAATTAAAAGTATTATCAGTAAATTCCTCCAAAATCAGAACACAAATCTTTAATTATGATAACAATGGCATCTCAGTTTGCAATATAAAATATTTCAAGTCTACATTCATGTGCATTCTAAGCAAAAAGAAAGCTGAATAACAATAAAATTATAAATACCATAAAAAAGTTAAAAGCCACGTAGAATGATAGCAAGACTAAATGAAGTCTTCCTTCAAAAATCAATTTAAATTCAAAAATTTTTCCTTCCTGTTTAACATCTCAAAATAGGGTTACTGCTTTCACTAACTAAATTTCCTGTCTTGGCAAAATAAAAATTGTCACTTCTGTTGCAGGAAATATTTGCTGCAAACTTTATATGCAAATAATCCAGTGAAAAAAATTTTAATTGTGGCTTGAATATTTTCTTTATTAAATAAATGAAAAATTCCCATGTAATATTAATTTATGATCCACATGAAGCTCTTTACCTCTACCATATCATGCAGCTATTTTAAAATATATACTCTCATTTAAAAGCCACAGAATATTTTTACCAATTTTAATATGGTATAAATCATTATTAAATATTCTAAAAACAGCCCAAAAATTTCTGAATTTGATATTAATAAAAATTAATTAATTAAATAATTCTACGTAATTGTTAATGTATGCATTTGCTTGCACATACTTAAAATGAATTATACACACAAAAACTTAACATATTAACTTTAATAAATTCTTAATTAGCAGGATGACTCAATTAAGGCAAAATATGAAAGAAATCTACCTGATGGAATAGTTGTAAAAGATATATTTAAAAAAAGCTAATACCTTACACATGGCAGAAATTGAGTAAACTGTATGCAGGTGGATTATTTATTAGGAATAAAAGTTAGATCAAAGTACCAGTTCCGGAAGGCTTTAACCATTTGGGTGCAAAGAAGCATCTCAATTTAAAAAAGAATAAAAGCTAATAGAATTTTATAACTTTTACGATCTAGTACAAATATTAGACACATAAACAACACTAAATGCCATTATTTACTTGCATATTTTCCTTCTTTGTGTACTTTACTCCTTAATTTTTCAGGATATGATTTAGAAACAGAGTTATGGTAAAAATGTGTACTGGTAAAAAAATATTGCTGAAACTGATAAGTCCTTTGAATTATATACTATAGTGCAAAGAGGGATGGAATATGTGACTAAATATGATAAATCAGATTACAATAACATTAAACAAATAACATGAAAAACTGAAAAACGAAATTTTATTTGAAATTTAACTCACGGAAAGACAGACAGTATTTCCAACTTATTTTTACCAGATAGTTCAATTTTATGTCCTAAGGCCATTCGTGGTAATTAAATCAATTACGATGCAATCACACGCTCACTCAAAAATATAGAAAAGGCAAAATCAAGGGTTAAATTCATCAATTCTAATGAGAATGCACTAGCAAAGTAAAGCACTGTGGTTTTACATAATTTCTGAGTAAGCTATTCGTACGAATTGAAATAATTCCTGCATTTAAACTTGTATTCCAAATTAAGATTTAACTTGAAATTAATGTACATAATTACTGAGAGAATTAGGGTAGTTTAACATGAGATAAGATCACTTGGGGTCACGTGATATGAAATGGCGAATCAGAATGTTGTACCATGAAAGCATAGTAAATTCTTAAATTAATCTCTTTTTACAAATACAAATTAATGTCTTTCTACAAATTTATTGTCTTTATTTATTATCATTTTCAAAATTTTAAACGATATTAAAATGTTTATGCCTTTAAAATAAAAAATTTCTTAGAACTAACATTTGTTAACATTTTTTATGTGTATACTGTATGTTGTCGCCAATAAAGTCTGCTTGGCAAGATTTGCGTCGGCGAAACGGAAAAGTACCCTGATATTTTGAATTTTTTTTATAATTTTCATAAATTTACTATTTTAGGGAGGCTCGGTAGCACAGTGGCTAGTGCATCATGCAGCAGCACCAGAGGTCTGGCGTTTGATTCCCAGGCTGGGCAAGGTTGAAACAGCCTTTCATCCCTTAAGTGGGTCGATCAAATTAGTACCAAGTTCCATTGGGGACTTAATACTGGGGGGCCTGCAACAAGCTGACTTATGCACAAACACTACAGAGCTCACCATCTAGAAAGTAGATATCAAGGCCATAGCTCTCTAAGGGCTGTTTGTGCCATCCAGTTTAGTTTTAAGTTTTACTATTTTAGTAACATAAAAACACATCTGTAACATTTTTGGTTTAGGTTTATTTGATTACTGCAAAGCACAATAGGGCTATCTGCCTAAGGTGAGGAATGTCTTCATGAAGGACTTTCTAAGGGAAACTGGCTCGTATACATGTTACACATGGGGAAAACCATGGAAACGTCTATGCAGCCAGACCGTTCGCGGGATTCGAACATCGAACCGAACTACCAGTGTTCAGCGACTTTACCGCTGGGCTGTTGGCGAGCCTTCTATTACACAGGACCTGTGTGTGCAGGATCACTTTCGAAATTAAGAGAGTTGTATTTAAAATCAGTGCTAAACTAAAGCTGCTTTCTTGCCTAATTTTATACTATTGAAAATACCGGTAATTGTCAAAATTATTCATATTCAATATGTGTAAGATTATTAATGAGCTGCCAAACTGCAGTTAATCATCTAATATACTACATTCAACGTTATTATTTTTCTTTTTGAATGTCAGGTTTTCATTATTTCTGCCAATATATCTGTAACAGGACATAAATATTGAGTTAATGTAGAATAGAAAATTACCTTGCAACATATCCAATACGACTTAGTGGCAGTACTTCATTCTCTAGAAAAAAAACATTTTAAATTCTTATACTTAAATAAAAAATTCATATTTGTTACAGCAAAACATCATTAACACAATAAACCAGAGTTGAATGCAAATCTAGTTTAACTCCATTCTTGAAAACTAGTTTATTACTTTCAATTTAATTTAAAAATAATAAAAAATAAGGTACGTATTATGACTACCTAGATATCTCGCCTAAACTGGCAATCCTTGTAGGTTATACAGGTTAACCCTAACATAGGTTTATATAGATAGAGTATTAATCCCACACTAGGGACTCTAACATTTGGTGGGAACAGTTTGAAAAGTGAAACGGATATTTATAGTGAACCAACGCAAAACAAAAAACAATAGTCCTTTAGGGACAAAGCCCCTTTGGACTAATAAATAAATTAAATTAACAGCTTTTAGCTATTTTTTCTTCTTGTAAAAAATAGACATACAGAATATTTTTAGAAAATAACAGTACTTTAAGCATGCATTTTCCACATATTTAACACAATAATTCATTCTAGCTCTGTTGCAATACTGGCAAAGGTACTCCTCTGTTATTAGGACGGGATTCAGAAATGTACAATGAAACCTCGAGATACGAGGAGGAAAGTATGAGCAAAATACGAGCATTACTCGAGTAACGAGCAATGAGCCAGGCTGTTGGTATGGGTGGCGCCATTTCCTATCCGGCTCAACTCGGGAATCCCCTCGTCAGATCACTCAGTGTTCTTTTATATACGTGTTTGTGCACTTGTAAGTTAATTGTTTTGACATTTAACGTGAAAATAATTATTTCAAGATGCCTCGCAAGAAGATTGTTGCCTCAGATAGTGCTGCAAAGAAAAATAAGGAGGCCATGGCCGTCGATATCAAGAAAGAAATCATAGATAAACATAAGCATGGTGAGGGAATTGGCGAAGACTTGCGGCCTTTCAACATCGAAAATCTACACTATTCTGAAGAAGCAGGAAGAAATTAAGAAACTTGATTTAGCCAAAGGAATGCTGGAACGAATTAAACTCGTATCTCGGGGTTCCACTGTAGATATGTAAGCATGTGTATATGCATGTATGCATATGAGTATACACATACATACATAAAGAATATACACATGCACACATGAGCACCTACATTTAAAAATGCATGCATATAGACACACATTTCTGAATCTGGTCCTGATAACAGAAGAATACCTACATGAATCATAGGATTTACATTAATTAGTTATTAGAATTCTTAAATGCAGAGAATTTCATCTTCACTATCCGAAAATTCAGTTTTATTTCCAGCTGAAACTATATCAGGACAATCTCATTTAGAATTAGAATTCTTAAATGCAGAGAATTTCATCTTCACTATCCGAAAATTCAGTTTTATTTCCAGCTGAAACTATATCAGGACAATCTCATTTATATTACTTCCCTCTAACAACTGAACATTTTTAAAACCTTTTCTATTCCATGGAAAACTAATGCTACATTAAACATATATTTTCTAAATCTGAAAATTTTAAGTTAGCTTAGAAACTGTAATCATTCTTAAAAAAGTTTGATTTATGCAGATGTTAGATCAATAAAATTACTTTCCTGTGAAAAAGTAATATGGCGTTGAACAACATGATTTTACACATCAAGATATACTGAGTGAAAATTCCTGAAATGTTTTATTTCTTGGTATCTCACTATGCAAGAATTGTATAAATAAGACTACCTCCCTTTTTTAAAAAAAAATGTTTAGTAAATACTATGAAGAAAATTGGTTACATTATTTACAGTTCATAATTAATAGAAAATAAATCATTTCTTAGCTTATCAGAATTTATTTTTATCACATTCATAAACAGTACTAATTTAAACAAACATACCATTATGATTTCAATAACTATGAAATAGAAAATCCAAATCTGCATCTTTGATGGTCTAGTAGATTGGACGTCTCGTTTACTACAATTCAGCAGGGTGCTGACTCCCAGACTGTAATATATATATATATTAATTTACAAGGGAAAAAAGCAACAAAAATATAAACAATTTCTTGGTTTTATATAAGCATTTCTGCACATTTACAATTTTCATTTTTTTAACTATCTAGTTATATCAAAATACATGATTTAGTAAAATATAATTCAAATAATTTAAGGTATTTTAGATCAAATACTAACTTTTCAATAAATTTTTTCATGCAAGTCTAATAATCAACATAACTATCAAGTTTTGACTTCGAAAATTATGTTTAGAGAAACTTGAAGCTGCAGTAAATAGTAATAAATTTATTCAAAACTGAAAGTAAAGCATTCTTACTTTATTTTCTTTCTTTAACTATGGCAGATCTTTTAAAACAAAAAAAATCAAACAAACAAAAAAGAAATGCATTGATGAAAGGACTTAGGACTTACTTATTATTCATGAAAGGATATATTTCAGTAATTACAAGTGCATGAAAATTCAGTATATATAAAATAAAATGAACAAAGATTTGGAACAAAGTACCTGTGTTTCTATCGCATAAAATTTCCTGTTTTAATAGCACAATATCTTTGAGTTAAAGATTATATATTAAAGCAAATTTATAAAACTAAATTCAAAAATAAGAAATTAAATTATTTTTAGGGAAAACACTAAGCAAATAAAAAAATTTTGAATTTCATAAATAAATGAAAGTTACATGGCATAAAAGGTAGATAATATTTCCATAACAGATTTCTGAACAATTAGTCATGTTAATATTGCCTTTTTTTTTTTTTTCCATTAAAAGCTATTTCCTGCTTAATTACAGTATGCTTTAAGATAAATATTAAAACGTATGAGTAAAAATAATATAACTATAAAAAGGTGAGACACATACAAACAGGAGTGACACAAACAGTAAGAAACAGACTAATGCAAAATTTTTTCAATTTATTGATTTGGTATTCTATGTCATTAACAGTACCAAATCCTGAAAATGAATCATTAGGCACGTACACAAAAGAACAACACATGGAAAATCACATTTCCTACACAGACGCTATTTATAAAATTTTATATAGGTGAAGAAAGTACGAGTATTAAACACTGAAAATATAAAATATTCACTTACTTTCTTCAAATAATTAGTAACATCGATGGATTCAGTCACAAATGCCAATCCACGAACAAACAGTATTCTTTGCGACTTTACCATTCTTTTCGACCGCCATTGCTGACTTCACAAATATCCCGCCACAACCGGAAGTAGAAAGTGTCTGCTTTGCCATTGGTCAGTGAACAAGAATTGCAACGCTTTTTTTTTTCTTTATAATTAAACATATTAAGAAAGCCTCTAAATTAGCATATGAAATAAACTTACTTTTGCATTATATAAATTTATATTCACAGCATCTCTGTATTAAGGTAATAATTCAATTTTTCTACGAAAAATAGAAATGTCTGTGTATGCGCATGCTCAGTGTATAATCGTAAATCCGGTTAATTTTATAATAAGTTAGCGTACAATTAACTATGTAAATTTTGAGTTCATTTAACTGGACCCTTGTACTTATTCTGTAGATCTCCATATTAAGAATGTCTTTAACTGTTTCAGGAAAAATATAAAATATAATATAATTATTTATTTACATTATTTATTTTTTCCTCATATAAAAATTATTAAAATCGCTATATCATTTTTCCCGTACATTAAACAAAATTAAAAAATGTTAGCCTCATATGATTTTTATAACAAAGATTAAAGGAACTGAAATATATGTAAAATATCAGGATTCAGCTTGCAATTTCGTAGAGTTATTATTATTATTATTAAATAAAAATTATAGTATATCTTTGATTATAATTAATGATCCTTTGGTCTACATTAAACTATTGTTCAAGAAGTTAAAAGTTTTCAAGCATCTTCTGCTCTATTTATTATTCTATTCCTCGACATGAAAGATTTGCTAGTCTTATTCCAATTTAATTGCCCACATTTGCTAAATAAAATAAGGCGAGTATTGTACCAAACTCAGTAAGTACACAAATTTAATATACAGCTTATTCCAGTTAAATGGGTAATAGGATTTTCATAAAAGAAATTAAATTGTGTAAATTAATGTAAGTGTTGATATGAATAAAAATAACAAATTTGATATAAGAAAATAAATAAGTTATTTTGAAGATCTTTAAATTAAGAAAATATAATTTTTTGCAAAAATGCACGTAAAGATTTAGCTCACATGTTAAAATTTATAGAAAAATTTTAGCCTAATATATGAATGCCCCTTTTTTCATGTTCGTAGAAAAGGAAAACAAAGTGAAATGCCAAAAATGCACTAAATATTTTGAATTAATAAACTTCATTTTCAATCTTTTTAGACTTTGTATAATATCCGTAAAAGTGACGAATGAAATATACCATAAAGGCAGTAGTTTTTTTCAGAACATTCGGATTCATATAATATGCGTAAAAGTGACGAATAAAATATACCATTATGGCGGTAGTTTTTTTTAGTACATTCAGATTCGTATAATTTTCGTAAAAATAACGTGTGGAAAATAACGATAAAGAGTCAACAGTAACTTCAGCCTTTCTCATTCGTATAAATTTCGTAAAAGTAACATGCAAAAAATACCATACCCTTATTTCACCAAAATTATACGTATATTTTTGGAGACGTGCTGCCTGGTGGCAAATCAGAAGTTAAATTAATTCGTTGAGGTTCAATATTAATTTTTCCTACATCATAGTTATTTTTAGAAAACACAGATGAATAATCATTTAACAATTTCTTTAAGTTATACTCTTTTTTTTATCGACAGTATTAGAAAAAACAGCATTTTTCACATAAATGTTAGACTGAGAAACTAATTCCTTTGGATTTGTAGTCCGAGATTTACAGGTTGGAAAATTTCTTACATCATCATCATTATTAACACATGGATAAACATTTGTTGTACCACCTTGAAGTTGGAGGTGTAGAGATATGGGTCGGCTGTCAAAATGGCAGTCATCATTAAGTACATATAGCTTTCTGTTTAATTTTAAAATTAGTACAATCAATACTCAACTCAAATAATTTGCATTCATTAAAGTCCTAAAATTACATAATTCAAATTATTATCAAGAACAAACAAGGTAATTTGTTACTAATCCGTCCAATTTTCATTTGTATACAACATATTTTGTTGAAGATTATTTGTCCCTTTAGTTTGGGTTACTGAAAATGATCTAACTCTTTGTACTTTTAAATGTAATTGTCTAGCTGTTTTGGAAGAAATTATTGATATGGTGGCACCACTGTCTACAACACACTCTAGACGTTTCTTATTGGACAAATATCCCGACACCTTTAATAGTCAACTACTGTGAGGGGTTTCTGGGCTTGGTTCTGTTGCAAGGGGTTGGTTCTATTGCAAGGGGTAACATTAGGTGTAGCATTAAGTGTATCAGATCTCTCCTCTCTGAAAGGACAAACCTGAAACCAGTGAAAAGCATTTGGGATTCCGTTCCGAGTGCAAAGTCTACAGGGACTGGGTGGCAATGGCAATCTATTTTGAGAACTGTAATTATGATGGCTTGTAAATCTTGGACCACTGAACCGATTATAAAAATTACTTGGTCTCTGAAAACGTTGGAAATTGTTGGGTCTAAGAGAATCTTGTCTCATAGGTGTTTCATAGCTTGAAGCTTAAATTCTACCTCTATTAAATAGATTGCAATCTTGGAGGCTGTCCCCAATCAGAGTAACAAATCTGGAGGTGCACTTTTGATTTGTTGATTTTTGCGAATCTTAATAGGCTTATGGATCTGAGTAAGCCAAGAGATGGGGTCAGAGGGTGCATTGATCGTCATTAAGGATTTTAATTCTATAGGAAGGCCATCCGTCAGACCCTCCAAGATCATTTCATGAGTTAGATTTAATTTTTTACCAATATCTAATTTTTTTGCGAAAATATTGCGTTTATGTCCTCTTTATGATTGTACTTGTAATTGGCAAAATCACCAAACGTAGTTAAAGTGGGGTCGAAAAATTTTTCCTTTAAAATTTGGACTAATTCCACATATTTAGTAATTTTATGGCAGTTTTTTGACATATACGCTAAGTGCATTACCTTTTAGATATCGAGCTACATTATTAAGCTTCCACGTTTCATCTCTATCTAAATGAGTTTTGTTAAAGTACTCATGCCATGAATTTATATACCTATCATTCTGCGCGTCGAAGGGAATTATACTTGTTTCAGGTTCAGCGCTAGCTGCCCTTAATGAATCGTCAGGATCAGAGATATTTTCATTAGCCATTATTCTCTTAATAATATTTTCATAAATAAAACTAAATCAAAATAATACTCTTTAAATTTTTCCAAAACAATATTAAAACCAAAATATATCCTTTAAATACCAAATTTAAAATACATTTATACCAAAATAATACTTTTTAAAATTTTCAAAAATAAAAACACTATTATTAAATCAGTAATTATAATTCAATAGTAATAATATCATTTGCATCGCCAATAATCTTTTTACTAATTGCTTCTGTTTGACTTATTGTGACGAGAATACGAGTGATGAAATCGACACGAAAATACACATTTTTGTGCACTCTTGATTAGATTTCGCAAAACACGATCAATCACCACACAAGCACAAAGCTCTCGAGAGCAACACAGAACGGCGTAGACGTAGGGGAAGATTCCCATCCTCATAAGTAGGTCAACGGTAAGAGCAAATTTGATGAATGACAAACTTTCGATGTAGACACAGATCACGCATCACAGGGGGCAGAAGGATTATTCTCTGGACGAAAAAAAAATCTGCAGAATACGAGAACATACAGGTAACAGATGGATAATTCTCTTGAAGCGAGAATGCCTAGAGAAAAATGTAGGAACATAGATATGTGTGTGTCATGGTGCTCATCCAATCAGCGATATTAATTGAAATCACGAGGTGACGCTATCTTCTCATCAGGAGTGTTCTTAAGGACTTTATGTAATATGACAGATTTATGAGTTTGGCGATTTGGCGGGCGCCAACAGGTTAATATAATTTATAATAAAGAAAGGATTTCGCCAAAATTTAGGAACAGGGATGCAATTTAGGTAGAGAATCGCCAACACATTATTAAGCAATATGAATAGAATTTAATTTAATCAATTGATTTAAAAATATCATTACATATATATATAATTTATGATATAGTAGTTGAAATGAAGAAAATACTCTTATTGTTCAAAAGTTTTGTTGCTGTATATAATAAGCTCATAACCTGATTTTTTTTTCATTGTAATGTTGGTTTAAAATTCCTTTTCTGCCCACTTCTAGAGCTCTAGAAACTGATGACTACTGTGACATGCATTTTGTGGTGCAGAAAGTACAGCTGTTTGCCCATCGTTGCATCTTAGCTGCTCGTTCTGAATTCTTCAAGAATGCATTTGATGAGGAATGGAGGAACCTGACAAGCATACGTTTTACTGAATATGTATGCTTTATTTGTATATAAATGGGAAAACAATCAATAAATCCCCCTTCCTAGTAATATCTATGTTGAGAAGTTTTAAGTGAATACAATTTCTTTTAATACCTGTTTAACTTTAGGCATTTTTCTGGAATTTTAGAAATGACTGATTAATTTTTGGAAGTAGTTTGTTTTTAATAAAATTCTATGTAAGAAAAGCTTGAACTTAAGAATACATGCATTATCTCCTAATAAGGAGAAGCTGTCTTTAATTAGGGAATAATTCACCTTATGTACTTTTTTTAAAATTTTTTTCCTATTCATAAACAGCTTGAAAGCAATTAATTTCAACTTATAGATCTTGACATTTTTAGAATAAAACAATAATACATTTTATTTGTTACAAGTGTATTATATTATTAAAAAAATCATAAGTTATTATTAATTTTAATGGGAAAGAAATTTGTGTATGGATTTTGCATTCAAACATTTCATTTGGCTTGCAAGATTATTAAATTTTATTATATTTTTACATGTTAAGTTTTAGCTTTTGTTAGAAGTGCTATTATTTTTCCTGAGTAACTCGTAAGTTTAATTGTCACCATATTAAGTTTGTATGTTGTTGTACAGTATAAAAATGGTATCAGAAGGACAAAATCTTATTCACATGTTCTGAAAAGTTAAATTTTTTGTCTTCATTCATTAATAAATCAAGGTAATTGTCATGGGTTATATTAAAATTAATACTAGGTGTTAATTTTAGCAATAGTTTATTATAATATGGTGAGTTTCTAATCCAAAATGTGTATACATAAGAATACATTTCATCCATTATTAAAGCAAGTAAAATTATATATCCAAGTTTTGTTTGTTTGTATCAAATAACTTTAATTCTTTAGGTATTAGATTTTGAGTTTAAATAACTAAGACTTTTATTTAAGTGACCATTAGCAGGTTACTTTAATATGATATTTTTTATACTCAGTGCATTTAGTCAATTTTAAATGTTCTAATTAAAATTCTGTTAAAAATATCTTGAATCTCAATGAGAAATTTAGTTTTCCTATATTCTATTTGGTACTTACGTATTATCGCAACCAGGTTGGCGCGATTTGTAAGTTTGAGTAAAAAAGTATGAATAGAAAGAAAATGTACATTAATTAATTACAGATAATTTTAAATACATTTTTTTATTATTTTGTTTTAAAATATAAATAGCAATAAACCCTTCCGGTTTCAAATTTGAATAAGTTTGCAGAATTATTTTTTCGGCGGAAATCTTTTGGCTATTGCTTTTAGCATGATTGAAAACCGTCTTCGCCATTAACAGCTTGAGCTTCGCGTCATATAAATTCGATAGGTATGAGTCAAGATGATGACGGGCTGTTCCTATCTGTTTTTTTGTTGCCCATTTGGCTGAGCCCCACATGCGCTCTACATGTTGTGTGTGAATGCCCTGTTGGATCCAAAGTTGTATTGTGATTAACAGTTCCATGCAGAAATCCAGCATTTTCGAACTCACTTGTATTGTATCCTTTCCGCAATGAATAAATGATGCTTCCTTCTTTCATATTTTTGCAAAATTTTTACATGAGGGTAACGGCGCTACTGTTAGGTACAGTAACCCAAAAAATTTTCCGGCCATTCCGAAAACCCATGCTGGTAGTACACGCCCAGTGTTATTTATAATAATTTCTTTACGAAAAACTACGTATAACACGTAGGGTCGCCAAATTTGGCGATTTATGCGAATTTTGGCCTGGTTGCGTTAATACGTAAGTACCTTCTATTTAGTATTAACAAAAGGTGATAAAATACAAATTCATATAGCAAAATACATTTATTTTATGCAGTGCATATCCCTACATGCAGTGCATCTAAAAGGTTTAGAACTGTCGTTTTCTACTTTCTGATTATCTGCAGTCCTGCTGAAAAGTCACTAAATAGTATTTTTGTGGCAAATCATTATATCACAAAAACAGTTATGTATGAAGCTACCTTGTTAGCAAAAAGTGTTTTTATTGAAACCAAGTATCCGTATAGTTATATGTCTTTTTTTGGTTTTGCTTATGATTTTGAGACAAAATGGCAAACATCTTCTCAAGCTGGATTATATGAATTACAGTTACAGAAACTTCAATTTCAGAAATTTTGAGTAAAGACCATGCTTGTAACTTTTTTGATTAGAAGGGGATAGTTCCCAAGGAATCTTTTCCTAAAGGATAGATGATGGCCTTCTTATTTTAAAAAGATATAACGCACATGCTTCTGAAGAAAATTACATTAGGCCTGAAAATATCTTACTCAAATAACACATTTCCGCTGCATGAGAATGCAGTGCCATGTAATTATATTCATGCTGGGCAGTTTTAGCGAAGAAATATGCTTTAATTCTAAGCCATCTCTTGTTCCCCAGATTTGCCACTTGCAGATTACTTTCTCTTCCTTAAAGTGGAATGCTACCTCATTGTTTTATTAACATTAAATGATTCAAAAAATAATCATCAGATATTTAAGCAATACATCAAAGATAAGTTCTTTTAGAGAATTAAATAGTTGTTTAAATATACCAAGTGTTAAATAGATTTAAAGAGGTATATATTGAAGGTTAAAAGGTAAGCATGCTGCCTTCCTCAGCTTTCACTTTTGTACAAATTTAGTCCTACAATTTTATTGAAGTATTATTTATTATTTAGTTTCAATCTGATAATATGCATTCCAATCTACTAGGCATTATTTTAAAAAGCTTTCTGACCACTAAAATAGTGCTGCAGTTTAATTATTTTAAGTAATGAACAAGCATGTCCATTTCTTCAAAGTCCTTACACTGTTTTGTTTTTATATCATTGAGAAATGTTTATTTTTGCTATTTACAGCATCTTATTGAAGTATTGTAATGCATAAAACATTTGTGAAAATATTTCATTGTATGTGTATGTGTATGGATTTTCCATATTATATGAAAATTTCATTGTAAATATCGTAATAGGATTTTGTTGAAGTAAAGTATTTTTCTAAATATTAAAACTGGTAATTATTATTCTAAAACTTGTTACTATATAGTGAGGAATCTAAACATGTGCTTGAAAATTATGCAGACAACGTGCAAATTAAAAATAAAATTTAATATAGCAATTTTAGTGTTAAAATTTTATATCGATAGAAAGTAGCAATTTTATTGAATAAGCCTTTTTATTGGCTAATAGTTGTATGAATCTTTTTCATGGTTTTTAAAGTAGCTACATTAATTATTAATTTAGTTTACAGCTGCTGCATTGAAAGGTGTTTTACACTACATGTATACAGGTAAGTCAATAACATGTTATAGCGATATATCAGTAAAGTTTTTAAAAAACATGATGTATAAAACATTTTGTTGTAAGGCACACCTACTAGTACAGGGATGTCAAACTCATAGGTACACTTGGGCCAAACAAGGTTTAACTTTAGGCGGGCCGCAAAAAAAAAAAAAAAAATCAATATTTATAGAAACGTAGATTTATTTTGAATAATACAACAAGAAAAATTTAATGTTTACGTCCTGATACTTGATATCTCTTCTCTACTATTATCTTTCCTATTTTCGGGAGAAATTTTGTTTGCAGTGATAACTTTCAACGCTGACCCAAGGTTAGCATCATTAATACAGTTTCTAATAGGAGACTTATTACCTTTCATGACTGAAAATAACTGCTCGCACCGATAAGTGCTACCAAACATGGAAATAATTTCATATGCGAATTTTCGAGTATTTTCAAACCTGGCTGGTAAATATTTGTAAAATTCAGGCACGCCCACTTCAATGAATTTTGCTTTCAAATTTGAGTTGCATTGAATCTCGATCACCTCCATTTGCATATGGCTGGGTACTGAGTCAATACTTATTGAGAAAATCGAAGAAAACAAAAAAAAAAAAAAAAATTGTCTTCGAGGGAACTAAAATCATTAAACCTCGTTTCAAATTCAGTTGTTAAATTTGCAATTTTTTCTGCGTATTTTTGATACGAACAAGTATCATCTAAACTTGATTTGTTCATGCTGCACGTCGGGAAGTGCGTCAAATCTTCATTTTTAAGTGGTTTTTTTTCCAAAGAACTAGTTGACATTTGAATGCTTTAATTATGTCAAACATGTTCGTAATGATATGATCTTTTCCTTGTAACGATAAATTTAAATCGGTTAAGTGTTTGGTTATATCAACCAAGAAAGATAAATCTTGTATCCATATTGGATCGTAAAACAAATTTACGTCTTGATTTTTCGTTTTTAAAAACTGACATATTTCTTCTTTCAAATCCCAGAATTGTTTGAGAATCTTGGAGCAAGATAACCAACGTACCTCGGTATAGTAGGACAAACCCGAATATTCACTATCTAACTCACTTAAGAAAGCAGTGAATTGACGCTGATTTAAACCTCGAGATCTTATAAAATTTATAACTTTTTTTATATATGACAAAACATTCTCCATATTTATTACTTTCGTGCATAGAACTTCTTGATGTATAATACAATGCATATGATGAATGTTTGAACCGTGAATTTCACTAAGTTTTTTTTCTTAGTAATGCTACGAAGCCCTTGTTTTTCCCGGTCATTGATGGAGCGCCATCTGTAGCTACAGAATTTAATTTTGCCAAAGGTAGATTGTATTTCTTTCTGCAGAAGTCCAAAAACACAAGTAAATATATCTTCTCCTGTGGTAGTACCAGGCATCGGTATTAGTTCCAGTAATTCCTCAAAAATGTTAAAATTCTTGTCACAAGAACGAAGAAACACTGCTAATTGAGCTTTGCCACTAATGTCCGTGCTCTCGTCACAGGCAATGGAGAAACTTTCGAAACTAGATGATTTTGCTTTGATCTGATCACTTAAATTCGTGGCTAAATCAGTAACTCTTTCCGCAACTGTATTTCGAAACAATGAAATTGATTGAAAAGCCTTCACATTTCCAGGACAAACAATTTCTCCAGCTTTCATTAGGCATTCCTTGATGAAATCATCGTCAGTAAAAGGCTTCGAATGTTTAGCTATCAACTCGGACAAGACGTAGCTTGCATGTACCATCGCTTCACCTGATGATGTCATATGCCAGCTCTTTTAACTATTGTGAGCATTGTCATATACTTGATTAATAAATTGATGAACTTTTAACTACATATTTTTGGTCTTGTCTCTGTAATAAAACCAGTAATAATCCTTTAGGTTCTTCCATTTATTCTAGTTTTCTCCAAGGGGGGAGACTCTAGTTTAAAATATATCTATCAGCATATATTTTACGCAGCATCTACTATCTGTCTACAACAAGAATAGCTCCCACCACAGTGTCTGGCGGGTGGCAGTCGCTATAGCAACAGGGCTATTATATTTCAAATGGGGACGAACCAAGGGTTGCTTTATTGTTATTTTGTTTATGGCAACTGTCGGCTGAGGGGAAAAGAGTTTATCATTTGTCTTCTGGTTTCATCCCAGCAGCACGTCTTTTCTTTTAAGCTGTATATTATTACTTTTACCTATTTTTATTCTCATTGCTATATCTTTTGTACTGGTATTTGTTCAAATTTGCTTCTATTTAACTTGACTTTTGTAGTGCTTTTATAATCGCTATTTTTTTTAAATGCCCTTCCAGTTTAAGAAAGGTCAACCTTTAAAGTCTCAGGCACGTCAAATTGTGTACAATATTGCAGAATTTTGCACTTCTGAAGCTTCCGCGAACCCTTTAGTAGTTTCTCTTCCTTTAAGTGTTGAAGAGAACATCACAAGCTACTGGAGTATCGGAGTATACAATTAAAAAAATAAGCACAAAGTATCAACAATGGGTGAAAATAAACACCTGGAAAGAAACGTAAAAGCCCCATTGATCGAAAGTGCTAAATTGACAATTTTGACAAATGTGTTATACAGCAGACAGTACAAGACTTTTACATCAAAGAAAAGAAAGTGCCATCTGTATGGAAATTACTGTCTGTGTTAAGGCAAAAAATAGACTTCCTGTGGCAAAAAGACTCTGTGCAAAGTTTTGCGATCAATGAATTTTCACTGGAAAAAAATGCATTAACAAAAGAAAAATTCTTATCGAATGGCCTGACATTGTATTTTGGAGGAACAATTATGTGCGAGAAATGAGGAAACTTGAGGTAAGTGAAAGCCACATCGTTTCCATCAACGAAACATGGATTGATAGCAATTTAACATTTAAGACATGTTGGCAGCATGATACGGTTTTGGGCATACAGATAAATGTCAGTTCAAGAAGTAAGACTGATTGTTGTGCTCTTCCACAGGATTAATTCCAGGTGCTCAACTTGTATATAAAGCATCAGCTCAAAGTGAGGATTACAATGGGCAAATGAACTATGAAAATTTTGAAAAATGGGTTTTGAAAAAGCTTCCTCCAAATTTACGACTCCAAAGGTGTGGTATGCATAGATAATGCTCCATACCACATGAAAGTTGAAGTTCGGACACCCACAAAATATGCTACAAAGCAAACAATGGTAAATTGGCTGATGAGAAAGACAATATGCTGCGATCTCAAAATGCGAAAAGTGGAACTGTTTAACTTAATAGAATGCATTCGTCCTAAAAAGTAATCTATAAAATTGACAACATTATAAAATAAAATGGGCATCATGTTGTGCTTCTCCTTCCTTACCACTGTGATCTGAACGCAGTTGAATATGTTTGGTCATCAGTTAAAAGACTGATCAGAGAAAGGAATGTGACCAGGGACTTAAGCTTGGAAAATTTGAAAAGTTTGAACTCAAAAAGCTTTGAATGAAGTCACTTCCAAGAATGGTTGCAGGTGCACTGCAACCATGTGGAAAAAACTTGAAAATTCGTATTGGGACAAAGACGAACTTCTAGAAGAGATGGTGAATGCATTAATAACTCAAACTGCAGCAGCGATTCTGTTTCAAAAGAAACGTAATTTTGTGACAGTGATTCAGACGACTTTTCAGATGTTACACCTCTATGAACATCTTGAATGTTTTATTTTGGCCAGAGTGGATAAGATTATTAACAAAGTAAGGCAGAATGTTAGTAGTTCAGTTTGGCTCCAGTTTTGGCAAATGGGCAGGATGCATGGGAGTTTTTATGGTTTATTGAATGTGTAATGTGGATACAAGCCATGTCCTCACTGAAGGTCCTCCACAAAGGCATCCTTCTTCTTCATTTGATAGCCCTCATGTTATGAGGATATTTCTAGATTCAGTATTTTCTTTGCCACAATATAAATGAAAGCCTATGCGACAATGAGCCTTTGGCAGAGGCGACACCCCCCATGTGGATAATAAAGAACACTGCATGGTTGTTTCATTTCCCATTATTGTGTTCTTGGGGACCCACAAGCTATGGCATACTTTGCGTAAACACGAATTCTTAATCTTTAATGAAAATTAAATAAGCTTCATTTTATTATGAAAATATTAATACAAAATTATGTTAGTGCAAAAAAGCTCACTGCAGTTATAAAATCCAAATTTTGTATAATGATATAAATTTTGTATAATTTTAAATATAAAATAGGTAACTGAATTATTTAAAAGCCTTAACTGTGTTTTAATTTTAATATTTTATTATATTACAGTGTCTATAAAAATCAGCATAAGACATAACTGGGCACTGGTAATTAAGAGGCCCACCAGCGGCTGAGCAGTAAAGTCGCTGAACATTGGTAATTCGGTTTGAGATTCGAATCCTGCAAACGGGCTGGCTGCATGGGTGTTTTCATAGTTTTCCCCATCTGTAACGTGTATACCGGCCAGTTTGCCTTAGGAAGTCCTCCACGAAGGCATCCCTCCTCTTAGGCATATAACTCTGGAGGCTTTCCGTAATCATATGAACCAACTAAACCACTGGTAATTAAGGTAAAAGAAGTTTTGATTTTAATTCAACTTCCCTGCTTCCTTTTGCCATTAAATTGACCGGCTTTTGGTTTAGTCTGAAGGTATGGGAAAAGAAGAAATGTTCGCAAAAAGTATTTATTGAGAGCACGGGTATGTAAATAAACACTTTCCATATCCATTTAATGATGAAATTTTTAGTCATAATTAAAGCAAAAGAAATCAATTAAGAGAAAATTATGTAATAAAAATAACGGAACGTCATTATTAAGGCACAAGCAATAAATTAACGGAAAATTTTGAAATAAAAACATAGCAGAACGTCATTCAAAGACTGAAGAAATTGCTTTGAATGTTTACAGTAGATTAGCTAGAGGGGAGAATTATAAAAATTTAATTTAGTTTACATTTATGAAGTGTGTCTACTATATTACAGAAAATGGGGTATTCAAGTCGACC